ATTGAAACCGGTTACACCGATCGGATAATCGAACATCGATCAAACGTGCTCGAATAAAATCGACGTCCCTCTGTCAATCACTCTGATGGTAATCCACGACGCATCGATATCGCAAACAGCGTTTAAACATCACGACATTGCAAACAGTAAAAGCTTGAGTACCTGAGAATTGCATTAGCAGCGCCCCCAAGCATTGTCGCCGACGGATTACGGATTCGTAATTAAAATGCACGCAGATGTGCTTTGAAATATCCAGTTGGTCACTTGGAAGAAATTGTGGGCATAAACACGCGTTAACCTGTCTCTACGAGGAACCTTGCCTTGTAATTAAAACAGCTATATCGTTGCACCTCGGCAATTAAACCAAATTAAAGAGAGAGAGAGAGAGAGAGAGAAAAAAAGTAGTTACGTTCCTTGCCGACGGTTGTGCAGATTTCGTAATTACCGCTTTGCACCTATATCCTAATTTATATGCATCCTGATGGTGTTCATTTATCGACGAAGAGTGGGAATGCAAACCACGTGACCTGCCAGTCTTTTATCCGTGATCGGTACTAAATGAAATTGATTCCCAATGTTTTTTAACGACTCGAGAACGATCAACTACTGTACGAAGGCGATTCACAATGAATCTCTTCTTCTTCTTTAGTAAGTGTCGGTAATCGACGTAAAAGGAGAAAAAAGTCAGGAATAAAAAGAAAGAGAAAGGTTTCGATTACACGTCGATTTGAAACACGTAATTCCTTCCACTGATCGACGTTTCGATATATTTGGTTCTCGGATCTGCGAGAAAAGAAAAAAAGAAAAAGAAAAGGAAAGAATCGCCGTGCTAATCACATCTTTCAACGCCGTAAAATCTGTTATCGAATGGCAGATCTCAGTGAAGAAGTGACGCCTTAAAGTACCACGCTCGCGTGTGTATATCCGGTGAACGTTTTCTACCTTCGAAAAGCGAGCATCCTTCGATGAATTTTGATTCGCGCCGCGTTCCCACTGTCACTTTATCGACAGAGGAGAGAAGGGTATGATCGTGTAATTTGAGGTATCGAGGCAGAACCGTGTTATTACGAAGGGCAATAGCTAACCGGAGAAAAAAAAAAAAAGAGCACGCGATTGATATACTGTACATCGAAACTGACGTGGGATATCTTTCAGCTGTAAATTTTCCGTTTTCTCTCCTCTCGAGGGACACGTTGTTAAAAAAAAAAGTATAAAGTGGGCCAAAAATCCTACTGAAATAAATCCGTAATTTTCTTTTATACATTTAAGAAAAATTTCTTTTTAATAATTTTTAAAACATGACGAGAAAATCACGTTTGAATTTCAATTCAATTTAAAATTAATAAAATTGATCTTTTCTCGCATTTTGGTGTGAATAAATTTTGATAAAAAAAAAAAAAGTGGGAAGAAACTTTTGGCTCACCCTATATAATTACAAGGATTTACAGTAAAACGATCTTTACCGAAAGGTAACGGAAGTTGTTTACATTGTTGGTAACATTCATGTAAACAAGTCAAGTTTCATTTACTAGTGTAACGTCGTACTATACATGTATCAAGAACTCAACACACTTAAAATTATAAACGAAAATCGTGATCATATTACCTTGTCTGTCCATAAAATAGTTATAATTATAAATACAAGTATAAAAGTTATAAATAGTTATAAATTAGATTAAAGCATATTTTTAACCCTGTTTAAACCCTCAAGCTTTTACGATACCTGGTTTTTTCGACTCATGGCGGATCCACAGTCAGAGTTAAGGGTGTTCGAGCCTTACCTTTTTTTCTCATCGAGCAACCCTGGAGGCCATTTCCAGTGAAATTGGCCTCTCATCCATTCTGACTCTAACGAAAACTACGGTTGGACATTTTCTTTGGCAAAAACTCCGGCCCATTAGTACAGTTGCGGAAATTCGGGATCTGACGCTGGAAAATGACAAATTGATATAGAATTCAGTACTCGGCCAAGTTATTTACGTGAAACTTAACTCGACTTTACTAACCTAAAAGCTAACTGATGTAAAATTACTAGCTAAAACTAACACAGAATTATCAATTTAATATTTCGCCAAGTATCTACGTACCTCGAATTGTAATTCTCAGCCGATGATTATTTACCACTCTATCATCAGTCGAGTCATCCACGCTTACGAAAGCTTAGACTACACCTATACCTAAACCTAACCTATTTTTTTTTTTTTTTTTACATGGAGAAAATCTTCATGAGACACCTGAGTCTTTTAAGAGAAGACACCAGCTAGTGTCGAATTTTTACCGACTAAATGACAATGATGGCCGTTGGAAGAGCTCCGGGACCCTTTTTATACACACAGAAGCTCTCCCGTGCTGTTGTCCTAAAGGACAATGTCTTTTTTTTTT